TAATGCATTTTATTTTATTTAATACATTCTTAAATTAAAAATAATTCAAAAAACTAAATTGATTTATATCTATGTTTTTATTATTAACTTTAAATCACTCTTAATTCAAATCATATTAAAAGTATTAAAATTTTAAAAATTTCTTAATTTGACAAATTAAATCAATCAATATATAATTAATAAATTAATAAATACTACAATTACAATTATAAAATAGTTGATTCTGTAATCAATTATTTAATAGAATTATATTTGATTAAATAGAGTATCCAGTAATTGATGTATTTCGTGTGTAAATATATAAAGCAAATATAATTCAAAAACTAAATTGATTATATTTATATTTATATTTTTGTTATTGATTTTAAATCACTCTCAATTCAATTCATGTTAAAAATATTAAAATTTTAAAAATTTCTTAATTTGACAAATTAAATCAATCAATATATAATTAATAAATTAATAAATATAACAATTACAATTATAAAATAATTGATTCTCTAATTAATTATTTGATACATTTATATTTTATTAAATATAATATCCATTCATGATATATTTCATGTGTAAATATATAAAGCAAATATATCAAATTAATTCTCCCTAATTAAATTATTGGAATAAAATATTTTATTAGTTTATTTTTGATTGATACATTTATATTTATTAAATATGATTTCATTTGCTAAAATATTGATATGTGTTGATTTAATTAAAATTTAATTTGTTTATTGTTATTATCAAATATAATAAATATAATTTGTTTATTGTTCTAAATTAAAGGATTTTTAAATGTTAATGGCAGAATAAAATATTTTTATATTAATTAATTTGTCATTGTTGGACCATTATTCACTCATAATTTTTATTATTTCACTATTAACTTTCATAATTTAAAATTATCTTATTAATTGACTTTATTTATATTTTTATTATTGACTCTAAATCATTCTCAATTCAATTCATACTAAAAATATTTAAATTTTAAAAATTTCTTAATTTGACAAATTATATCAATCAATACATAATTAATACTTTAATAAATACAACAATTATAATTATAAAATAATTATTCTTTAATCAATTATTTGATACATTTATATTTGATTAAATATAGTATTCATTTAATGTATTTTATGTGTAACTATAGAAAGCAAATATATCAAATTAATTTTTATAATTAAATTAATGGAATGAAGTATTTTATTAATTTATATTTGATTGATAGATTTATATTTCATTAAATATAATTTCATTTGGTAAAATATTAATGCACATTTGATTTCATTTGATAAAATATTAATGCACTTGGATTTTATTTGATTTTATTTGTAACGTTTTATAATTTTAAAATCTAGATATTAATGCATGTTGATTTAATTAAAATTTTATTTATTTTATTTCCATTATTAAATACAATAAATTTAATTTTTTTATTCTAAATTAAGGGATCTCTAAATGTTAATGACATAATAAAATATTTAAATATCAATCAACTTGTCATTTTTAAACCATTATTCACTTACAATTTTTATTATTTCAATATGAACTTTCATAATTTAAAATTATCTTATTAATTAACCTACAATACACCTTTTGTATAAGTAGCTCTAGGTAAAGCATAATGTATTTTTAATCACTTTTCACTAATTTTATATATTTTGATCACTACTCAACTCTACTTCAATTTTTTCTCTAATATTCACTTTGCATCGTTTCTTGGTTTGTATTGCTCAAAGATTATTCTCTTTTTATACTTATATTTTATATTTCTTTAATTATGATATTAGCTTTCTTTTTTTAATATTTTTTTGTTAATGATTGATTTAAAGATGATTTGGTATATACGGGAAAAGTCTTTCACCAGTAGAGTTACTATCATGAAAGTTGATACCACTTTTGGTTAATACTATATATCATGTGGATGTAACAAGAAACTATCTAAAATTGATGAAAAATTTCAATGTTATTCCTGTAATGTTGATGTTCATAATCCAATTCTAAGGTAATTAGTATTTATATTTTTTGTATTTGATACATAAAAAAATTATTATTCCATGATGCTAATAAAAGTGTTTTAAATTATTATATTACATTTATAATTGTAGAATTTTACATTTTTTATAGGTGCAAATTTAATATTGAGGCATATAAT